GAGATTGATTACCAGCTGATCTTTTGCTCGGTTGGTATGCGTGCTGAGAGAATATCGTCGAGTTAGGGTCTGCAAATACGCATGGACAACGACTGTATGACAAGGTGTTTTGTTCGTCCGTCGCCCTTCTGTTAAATTCGCGTATTGACTTCAACTCGTTCCGACGCAGCTGAATCTGGATATTTGGAAGGAGATTTGTATGGAGCACGTCTAATAACCTCTCCAAGAGCATTGGTGGTTCCAGTCTATTGACAAGAGTCACCAGGTTGGGCACATAGTCTCGCACCAATTTGTCTTCGCCCAGGAATCGGTTCCGAGCTTCCTGCAACAGCCTTTGTTGCTGTTGTGTACTAGTGCCGAACAAATCCCGGGCGTCAGCGACGAATTCCGCATAACTGAGCCACTGTTACTTGTTGTTATCGTACCAGGTCCTCGCGTTACCTTCGAGAATCTCTGACACGGAACAAAGTACTTCATCATCAGTTAGCCCTGCGCCCACGCGCAGATCTTCCAACCTCGACAGAAACGTGTCTATGCTCTGTGCCCTACTACCCGCAAACCTCAATTTCCATCCTCGGACAATTTTTCCAACATCACGGGTTGTGGAGAGCCCTGAGGATAGTTGAGGACCGGAGGAAGACGATCCGCTTCGACTCCTCTGTCAAACAGGTGCGGATCTCTCATACTTCTCCGGATCCTCTTCACCTCCTCTACTTTGGAGGAATCGGTGTGCTTCCCGGAATCCCAGAATCATAGTGACAGGTGAATATGTCCTGAAAGTCGACATTACGTCTGGAGCGCGGTTGAACTGAGTCACGCTGTGAAGAACGGGTTGCATTAGCCATTTCATGCATTCCGTCTTCCAGCTCTCGTATTCTTTGGCGCATAACCTGCGCCTCGCGCTCCGCACATACTTATATTCCCTGTAGAGTCTGAAGAGTTTCTAGGATTCGACCTACCAGCTTGCGGTTGCGGTCAACTTCCTCCTTCAGGTACTCTATTTCCCGGAAGGCTTCACTCAATGATAATTAGTCCAAATTTAAGTACGTCTCTTTTGAAACGCCTAATATAAGGCTCTCACCGTTGTGAATTTTTCCGAAGACTGAAGACCTCTGATTTTTATCAAACTTCACTGTACCATTGATATCTGATAAAACTGTTAATAACCCGAGTAATCAACAATTGCAAGTGGATGTTGAATTATTGCAACTGATTCTTCAAATTCGTTCATGTTATTTTAAATGGTAACTATGTGTATATCGTGTTGATGACTTTTCAATAGATATTATTTTTGTTGGTATATTTTAGCTAACTCTTGTAGATGAACGCTACACTTAGCGTCTATTATATTTATATACCTGTTCATTTAGACATTTTTCTAAAAAAATAGAGAGATTCTCGGTATCAATAAAAAATATTATTTAGAGACATTATATGTATATATACAAATTATATATATACATACAATGTCTACGAATAATACAAGGAATAAATTTATAGATCTACATTTTATTCTCTTTCTTACATTACGGCTTACGTACTTTTACCCCCCTCCGAGCAAAGTTGTTCAAGTTTTGAAGTTTCATATGTTCCTTCAAAACTAATATACACTAAGCAGCAGGGCATTTGAAAGCTCTTTTCAAAAGCTGTCAAATGGTATATATCATAAATACAATCAAATGGTTTTTCTATTTTTTTACAAACGATTATGCATCGATGAAAATTTCGAAATCTTAAGTACATTTTTTATCTCTCTTTTTGAAAAAATCGAAGGAAAATTTTGAGCACAGAATTTTCTTCCTCCTTTCAAAACTCATTTAAAAATTATTTACATCCATATGACCCATATTTGAGCATTTTTATCGAAAATTTAAGTTTTTTTTTCAAATTTACATTACTTTCTAAGTTAAAATTATAGAAAAAAGTGCACGTGAAAGAAAATGTTCTTTTTTCTATGTAGAATACTGTGGAATTTTTTCAGATTTTTTCCGAAAAATAAATTTTTCACTGCTATGCGACATCCGAAGTTTTAAATGGGAAATGTTAAAGCGCGCTTCCGCGCTTGTAACACAACATGTACCCGAAATATGCCAATGCCTTCATTATCGCTATAATATTCAATCGACTAACTACTAGAACTCGTTTTGCTCATAGTATATATAGACATACATGTAGCTACCGAGATAGAAACGATATTGAATGTATTTTCACTCACCCAATATGCTAACTCATTAACAGAAATTCTGATTCAGTACAAAAAGTGGATTTATATTAAATTATTTAAATATGCATATAATTTTAGATTATAAAATAATAAATATAATTAATGAATATTCTGCGCGTTAAAATTAATTGAAGAGGTATGTAGTTAGGTGGATTATAAGAAGTGGGGTTGCCTGTGTGATATCGTAAGTAAAGACAATCGATCGGTTTTATTGATTTATTTAATAAATAGAAGAGTTACGCTTAGCCGTCATAAAAAGCCCAGTTATGCGCGGGGAAAGGCCATTTAAACGTAACGCTTACAATGCTACTTAAATTATCGCAACGATTACAAATGAACTTACGCTTTATTCGCAGCTTACTAAGTGTACAACACGTGCAAGAAGGTGAGCGTCTCTTGGATCCGCGCAGTGCCAACGTCTTGGTCACGGGCACAGCCCGCACTGCGCAGCCCCTAGACGAAACGGCAGGTACTCTCAGCTAGGCCGTAGGTTACCGATAGCCCGTGCATTGTATTTGCCGGCTCAGCCCAATTCCACAAAAAGGAAACTCAGTGATTGTCTTTGTCGGTGTAGCTCACGGCACAAACACGAGACTAACTTGTAGACTTACTGCGCACCGATAAAAATCACTCTACAGCAGTCAAGCGACGACAGTTCGAACTGTCTGCCACAAATTTTCTTGAAGCACTGAGCATCAACCTCTCGTGCAGCGTCCTTATATCGCAGTTTTCCGGCATGGTAGTGGGGACCAGTGATCCCCAACCATCTCCACTAATAGGACAACAGCCGACAACGGATCCTCCGTTCCTGCGCTCATGACAGCCCGTACACGATTAACATGTAAGCCTTGCTCGTGCGCGTCGGGCCCCGTTTAAGGCGTCTAGATGCGAATCTAAACATACAGGATTTGGGTTTTTCCCAAAATAAATATAATGACGCGCTGAATGACATTTACCTATGTTACCGTCCGCGCATATATATAGCGCAGATGTCGCGAACAATTAAAAAAAATCAAATTTAGTACCGAAACCAATTTTTTCGTCTTGAACGTTAACGTTAAATAATCAATCACGAATTAGTATGACATCTAGTAAATTACCTAATTTTAATTTATATTTTGTTTCAAATGATGTTAATGTCGTATAAAAATTACAGTACCTTTAGTTGATTGTAATCTCATTGAATTCCAAAGGAGAGGAGTTTTGAGTCAGTGATGAAATAATGTGGCACAAACACGTATAAATAATATAATTTATATATTGTAATTAATCGTATAATTTGTAATTGATTCAGACCTTATTCCATATAGTTATTTTACAAGCAAATTAATTGAATATATGAAATACTAGTATAATGCTCAATGTACATGATTGATAGCTATTTGAAAAGTAGGTAATGTAGTATGACAGATAAGTTAATTATGACGAATTCACAATTCGAGTATATCAAACAATTGTCAAACCGGCAATAGTACGGAGCACTCAAATTGAACTGACTTTCTGGTCATTTGTAATATAGCGCGAAACTTCGTATTTCACGCTAAATGCTAACACTGCATATTTAAGAGATCACAACCGACTAAACTTGTTTCAGTTATATCTTGATTTTTTCGTTCAAAATAAAATAAAACGTCTTATGACGTTAAAAAAGTATTAACATATATTAATAAAATGTGTAACGGAGGAGGTTATCTGAAAGATGGAAAATTTATTTAAGAACAAACTCCAACGATGCAGAGCAAACCGCCGCTCCGTTAAACACGTATGATAATACGTGCATTCGCCTTAACGTCAGATGATTTATCCTAGTTGTCTTCTATCAAACGGAGTTGAACTCACCTTAAGTCACGTGTCTTGTGACACTCGATGAGTTTTAAGTGTGAGCGACTTTACTCCTAATCTTCTTAATCCCCTAGATGTAATCAGATTAAAACCTAAGCCTTTTTCAATTACTTAAGCTACTAGGAAAATTAAATGACGAAAATAGCGAATAAATTTAACAGACTTTAATTAATAAAAATCTTTACAGTCTTTGTAGGGCCGAAAGACTAACGCACGCGAACAGGATTTTACAATTAACTATGTTCGGTGAGAAAGAGAGAGAGTGAAGATTCGAATTCTACCGCGAACTAACGCTCGACGCGAATACAAAAAATAACGCTAACACGATTAGACAAAATATCGAATGTATATAATGACGGAAGGTGCACCTACCATCCGGTGCAATTACGGTGATCAGCCGTAATTGTTGATGCAAAATATCAACTGCCGCTGCCCCTCGATTAATCAGCTGCTCTACCTCGATCTGCCTTTATCTGCTGCAATCTGCTGCTTCTGCACCGCTGCTTGCTGCTGCAATACTGTCGTTGCACACACGCACGTAATTGTCCCAAGGAAACTTTATTTTGGCGAAACTAAGTGCGAAAAACAAATCGGCGGTAAACTCGCGTTCACAGCTGAGGCGTAACTGCTTATTCAAAAGATCGCGCGCCCCCTCTCTCTCTTAATTGTTAGAACTAACACGCGAGAAGCAGAATCGCGAACGGTTCGATTAATTAAATCGAATACCGTTGCAAATGTCTTTATTTATCTTTAAAGCTAATAAAAAGTTCAATAGTAGGTAATACGGAAACTATGTCATTTTTTATTCGACATTCACTGCTGCTTTGAGCAAATTATATTTTAATACAAATAAACCGTTGTTGAAAAATATTACTTTAAAATATACAAAATATTACACAAAATGGTTATATTATTGTAACTAAATTATACGTACGTCATGGCTTGGTATATGCTTTCTATACCATATCGCATAGCAAATTCATCAACTAATTCCTCGCCAGGTGGGTCAAAGTAAACTTTCCACGCATCATCACCTTTAGCTTGGGGTAATTTTACCATTCCGTCATTGTTTTCACATAAACTATGGAATAGATTTTCATGCAAACAAGTGTATTGAACATGGTAGGGTGCTACTTTTTCTTCTCCTTTAATTTCAACACTGATGTGCAACCTTATAGCACCAGATACGGCAGATTTATCAGTACGTTTTTCTAGATTATACCAAACATCCATTTCACCACTAAGCGTGCGAACTTCTATTATGGTTTGACCTAAGAAATCGTCACTTTCTCTTGTTAATTTTTGTCTTAATTTGGATTTCAAGTCATTATCTTCATCCCAAACGCGAACTTTTATTCTATCAGATGAATTGTGACATTCACTGCAATTTAGAAATAATATTTTTTTTAACTAGATAATAACAGTTACTATAGTTGATATTAGATAATTATAGTTAAGCTTCAATAACATCTGCACATAAAAAAATGATTAATACCATTTTACCACAACCTAACTATCTACATATATTTGGATTCAGTAAATGCAAATTTAAAGAAAAGGAATGTTGCATATATATAATACCTGAATTTTTTTTATTTTTCATCGCGTTAAATTTGTTGGGAGCTTTCTTGATTAATGTAATAAAAAGTTGAATTGGTATGCACAATTTTAAATTTAGACTTTTAGTCAGTGTTTCAAATAATAGATAGATATATCGGTCTGGTAAAATCTACAGGTCTCTTTATTTTCTCTTTATGTGCGAATATCAAAGAAGGATGTAATATCAATTAATTGTATATTTATTTGATTTTATATTCAGTACCTAATATTTCTTCAGGATAATATTTTTTCTCTTTCGATCTACTTATTTAACCGAATTTTATACGGAAAATATAAATTGGTTTTGGATAATTTTAAAAAAGTCTGAAACATCAGAAAGTTGCTTTCATCATAACTTTGTGTTAATGTTGAATACCAATTTATACTTCTAACGAGATTGTAAATTTAGAAAGTATTATTTGTGACGCGTTTGTTTGCTCTTCGTCTGCTGTCCCTCAATTTTCCTTGCACTCGCCAAGGCATAGTGGTCAGCATTGAGCATACGAATATATTAAAAATGCGCTTAACTACTACTGGCCTTTGTTTCAGCTACCGATGATCGCCGGAGGAGACGGAACAAGCCCGAATAAGAGCGTCTCAAAGCAGCGAAAAAGAAAAGTAGCGGTAGATAGAAAGTGAGAGAGACAGAGAGAGAGAGAGAGAGAGAGTACTCACGAACTATACAGATTTAGGTAGGCATGCAACATACGATCAATTAGCGTTCTTTGTCGCACGCCATCTAATAAGTAGGGATGCGGTAGAACGAAAGTGAGCGGTGATAAAGTAGCGGGAGAAAGTTGGTAGAAAGGAAGTGTGAGTCGGCAGAGAGTGTGAGTAGTCATTAAGTAGTTCTTTCACGGGCTCCTTGACGTAAAAAGGTAGAACAAGTAGCAGTATTTAGTAGTTCGACGCGATAAGATTTGCCAACCTGTGTGAAGAGAAGTTCTTTGACCCTGTAGAGACGCCTATGAGGACGATAGCATCCCTTTGTACTTTGGCTCTACAGCGAGATCTGCATCACCCGGCAAATCAGGAAAACAAAGGTCAGGTCATATCTCTCTCTCTCTCACTCTCACTCTCTTCGTTTTTCTCTCTCTTTCTCTCAAGGGTTTCACCGGCTACACTAAGTACAGCAATACTCAGTAGCCAGGCATTTACTCGATGGCTACCGAGATTTTTTGTACGAGCAACCGCTCTTATGAAACACGGATTGTAAAGGCGACCTTGTTTCCAGGCGATCCGTACCTTGTTGGTAGTAATGATAAGGTACGCGCGTTCTCGGTATTATTTGTTAGTGGTAAGACATACGAGTTAATATGTTATTAATTGTTTGTATTAGTAGTAAATCTTACGAGTTAGTTTGTTTGTATGGTTTATGCTAATAAGTTTCTATTGAATTTCGAAAGTTTATACGCGAAATCATTTATTGACCTATCGTCCCTTTGATCATTGAGAGTAAAAACATCTCTCTTATTTCCCTTTTTAAAGAATCGCTGGCGAAGTGCGTACGTGATGCGACAACTTTGGTAGAAATTATCACATAAATATAATAAACATTGTAACGGTCCTATTTATGAGATATTTATTAAATCACTGAATGACTGCAACTAGTCTAACGTATCTATCTGTTTATAATACATTAAGTGGCGCTACCTCACTGTTTACTCGATTGTATTCATATAAGAGTCAAATCAAAATAAATAGCGTGACGTCACAAAGTAATAGATATAGATATAGTGATTTTGGTTATTAAGAAAAATATGTAAATTAGGGATAATTTTAATATAACAAAGCATTTATTGTATAAATTTAAGTACGTAGATTCAGAATATAACTACACAAATTACATTTAATAATTAAATAATAATGAATCTCAATATGCAAAGTTAATTTATTTATTACACTAATAATATGAATTATGAGAAAAATATAAATAATCCATATGCAAAATGAATAAGTATAGAACATGAGTACGAATTGGTTTCATAAATAACAGCTGAATAATAACTGTTATTAGTAAATAAACAATCAATAATTTATTTAAACAATAAGCTGTATATCAAACGAAAATATTAAGTTTATACTTGATAATGATAACTTTATGATTTAGAAATCTTAGATAATTAATCTGATAATGACATTATAAGATTAGAAAAAACCGTTACAAATATAAAAAATTAGTCATAATTCAAATGTTATTAACTAATTTAAATATTTATTTTTAGAGAATACTTCGAAAATTAATCAACTATAAAGTTTGTAACAGGCTGCCGTTTAACCTCTAAACTATTAAACTTATCTGTTAGTTCGGTCAAACGACGCCTTGTTATCTACGTGCTGCGAGCACGTTAACCGACCTTGTCCGGGAGTACGCCTGCGCAGAGTTCCCTCGCCAAGCGGAGTTGGGTTCTCGAACTCGCCACTTGGCGGCGCTATCGCGCTTGCTTAGCAGCGCTCCGTCGGCCGCTACCGGTAACTCTGTTGACAAGCAGCTTCTCTCGATACCTACGCGATCCGTGCTATCTTACCGGCTTATTCGAATCGGACGTAAACAATAACATGCACCCCGGACAAAGGAAAGACAAAGCAATAGCTCGGTTACGAATAACTGCTGTTCGCTTTATTGAATTAAATCAAATACACGGGAGGAATTTGCCGAGAGACTCATGCACGCGAATACGATTGACAATGTGAACGAGGGGAGAGAGAGAGAGAAAATCGCGATCGTCGCGAACTAAACGCTCGCACGCTTATTATAATTTCGCCGCGTACGCTGCGCGGGATCGCACGCCAATGACAATAGCAATATTGTGCACCTACCACGGAGTTGTTGGGATTACGGTGGCCAACCGTATCCGACGCACTCGCTGCAGGTCAACCGCTCCTACGCTCGCTAATCTGCTGCTGTTGCGCTTCGCTGCTTGTTGTTGCGTTGCTGCCGGGATTGCTGATACTCTCGTAGCTGCCGAAGTCGCGCACGTAGAACAGTGTTCGCACTCAGCACTCCACTCGCTACTAGGATTGCAGGTGTTGGAGCCACGCACGTTGAACAGTGCGCTAACTCTTTCCACCGCACTGTCTATCGTCACTTGTCGCCTCCGCACACGCCTCGCAATGTGTACACCCACTGCAGCACTCTCTAACAATGTACCCTGGCTTCCTGATCTCACTCACAGTTATCCAATGCGTTGGCAGCACAAAAAACAATAGCTACGACCTAGCCGGACTGAATGACACAGTCATACTGATTGTCAAACTCTCCCCTCCCGGTCATTGCCCCTACGCGCCCTCTCTCTCTCAAACCGATCGCGGCTGCTACGCTCAGCCTCTTCGTAACCTACGCGAGTCGAACGATTTTCGGTAATCGTTGCAGCCCCCTCCTAGCTTCGGACTACCGGGCCGAACTATTTCGCCGACTCGCGACTCTAAGGACAGGAGAGGGAAGGGGGGAAATCAACACACTCCATCCTTAGAAATTTAACTCTTTATTCGCCCCGTCCGGGCCACCACTCTCCTCCTTCATTTGCCGGAGCCTCCTGGTGCCTTGTGTCTCGGGTAGCACCAGTGCTCCACCTTGTTCGGGCACTTCGACGTGGTGGTGATTCCCGGATGGCCACAAATGTAGCAGCCCTTCCGCTGCTGTCTGCTGGGGCCAGGCACCGACCCTTGGCCCTGGTTGCCCGCTGGCGGAAGGGGCTGCGGGGCCGGGGTTTCCGGGGCGGCGGTGAAAGTCACGCCGCCCACCGTGGCGGAGGTGCGTCCCCCATGGGTGCGCACCACCACGGTAGGGTCGGAAACCACCGACCCGTCCACACGAACCGTGAACTCCTGCCCGGCACCGGGGGCCCCCGAGACTCTCTTGACCTGAGTCTGTGTCGGTGGCTTGGCCGGAGTCTTGGCCGCGGTCCTACTCGCTGGTGCCGTTGGTGGTAACACCGCCGGCGGGCCCGCGGCCTCTGGGGACTCCTGCCCCCGGTCAACGCGCAGCAGGGCCTCGCCATAGGCCCTCTGCCGCCGGACTACCGGAGCCCACTCCCCCAGCATCTCTCGGGCTCCTTGGAAGTCGAGGAACTCCTCCAGGTGCGCATGCACTTGGCGTTGGAGTTCCCCGATGAACTCCCATGCGTTCTCCACTTTCTGGAGGCCCAGTCTCACGTGCCTCCAGGAATTTTCGAGCCCTTGCTGCTGGGGGATCCGGGGGTGATTGCAGACCCACTGCCCCGGCCCACAGGCCTTCTTTGGCCTGGGGCACTGAGTCGAGCAGTCAGCCACCTCTGGCTTGCTCGGCTCTGGGGTCTGCACCCCCTGGTCCGTCGTGGACGTAGACCGACGACCCTCTTCGGACGGACCGTCGGTCTGGGTGGACACTTCCCGGGTTTCCGCCTTTCTTGGTTGCGGCCTCAATCCTTCCCGGAGGAAGTCGTCCACCCGCTGGCGAGAGCGTCCTTCCCGGGCAGCTACCTCGACCTGGGCCCGGACAAATCTTCGGGCCTCGCCGATCAGCCGATCGGCGTCCGGGCCCAGCCTGAGATCCAGAAGCATCCGGGTGGCCACCTCGAACGCCTCTTCGCTGATCACCAGCTTCCTCTCCATATGCAAAAGAGAAGAGGGTGGTCAAGGGATATCTCAGGTTCAGCCCTTAACCTAACCGTCGTGGCGTCACGCTTGACGCTACACTTTACGAGTCCCCTACGCTTCCCTCGCGAATATGGCCCACTTGCGGGGGTAACTGGCAGGACTACCTTCCACACGGTGGTTCTGCGGGGCCTGCCTCTTCCCCTT